CATGTTCTGTGAGGTCACAGCCATGGGACATCACACATTCACCACAGCCCTGAAAGCAATGGACATCACACATTCACCACAGCCCTGAAAGCAATGGACATCACACATTCACCACAGCCCTGAAAGCAATGGAGCCCAGTATTTGTGGGTGGAAACCTGAAAGTAAACCTTTCTCCCAGGAGGTCCTTACTTTCAGGTGTGTATTACATCAAGGGACCACTGGCTAAAGTACTGAGTATCTATCAAGGACTGCATTCCTACTCATTGTCATCATTGTGTGACCACGAATGCCTGCTGTAACATGTGAGTTCCTTTCCAAGAGAGCCCATAATCTTTCGGAAAAGTAAACACTAGAATCCTAGTCTTGGTGGCAGTACGGAGAGAGAGACAGAGAGACAGAGCGACAGAGAGACAGACAGACAGACAGAGAGAGAGAGAGAGAGAGAGAGAGAGAGAGCTTTATCATGAAGGCGTTGCAATGCTACCTGATAAAAATTGGTTTTTCTATGGCAGAAAAACTGGACTTCTATCTGGGAGACGTTAAAGAAAACAAGAAAGCCAAGAGCAACTTGTTTTTCAAAATGCCATTTTACCAGGCGGTCAAAGCTGTTTAGGTACACGAGAATGTCTCGTGTGCTTAAAATTACATTGAGGTCTGTGAGACTCTATCAGAAAAGATTCTTCAGAATTCAGTAATAGGTTGTAGAAAGACGACTGGCTGCTTGCTTTGCCATTTCTATCCTCAGTGGACCGTTTATAATGACCTTTATATAAACTACAACAACTGTTGGGCATTTTTTGCTTAGATCCAAATTCAGAACTGGCTCCTGTGGACCATAGGGAAGCCCTGGGAACGAGCCAGAGGGGTCTGCATTAAGGACTCCAGGACAAGAGCTCTTGTCTGCTTGGCATTGAGTGGGAGAGACCATTTGACGAAAGTCCTGAGTTGTCTTGTGAGCACTCGAGAGTTAGCAGCCCCAAGAAGACAAGACTGGCAGGAATTGTGTCTCATTAAGGGGTGGTAACCATCTCACAGATGGTTATTTTGACCAACAGAGAGTGTAAGCATTATCTTCCAGATGTGATGCCATGCACACAGCTGTTTGCAAATCTTATTTCATCTTCCCATTTTGTGCTGGGCCTGGGGTCATCAATCACCAAGGGAGCCAGCTGTAGCACAGGCCTCATCCCCATGGGAATCTGGGTCATCAGACCAGCAGTGGAGGCCAGTTGTCCACATCTCAAGCACTCACAAGGATGTCCCTGAGGGATCCACAGAACATACTTGTGGTGGAAATAAATGATGTCTTCATGCACATGTTGCCTTCAAGGATAGCCCAATTATGGATATGAAGCCTTCACTACGGAACCGTAAGAATTCCAGATGAAGTGTGCTTTTTAAAAACGCCACATGTGTGGTGTGTAAAGTGATGCCTTCATTCCTATTATCAGAGAGATGTTTAAATAAACTAGCAAACCCAGACACTTCCTGGACACCTAGTCCCTATCAGACAGTCTGCTAAATATAGGCGATAGAACTAAATAGACAGAGTGTTGGAAACAGGTCACAGGGGGCTTTGAGATGCAGCCAAGGATGTCAGAACTTGTTTTCGGGATAAAGAAGTACCTTAGGCTTGAGATTCCAGCCACACCACCTCTGAAGTCCAGCCTTGGCATGGCGTGGCAAGCCCCTGTGACCTCCCCCACACCTAAGCTTGCATTTCCTCTACCACCCACTAGCAGCCAGCTACTTGATACCTTCTGTTCCATGACCTCTGCTGGGGTAGGTCATGCACATCCTACCTGCCCCAGCCAGCCTTTATCTGTCTCCTATGCTGACTTCCCAGTTGGGCCATGTGTCAGCCCCTTCCAAAGCTCTCCGGGAGTATGTGTGCACCTCTTTTCTGTCTGTATGACACCTGGCATGAGCCAGCATCCCGCTCGCATCTGAGGTGGAGAGAGACAGATGTAAGCATGAAGTAGAGAGAAAATAAGTGATTCGTTCTCTGGGGTCTGTGTGTGTGTGTGTGTGTGTGTGTGTGTGTGAGTGTGTGTCCTAGGTATATGAATATGCATGTGTGCATTCTGTGGGTGCATGCACTATGTATGTACATATGCACGTGTGCACTCTGTATGTGTACATGTACAAATATGTGGTGTGTGCCCTACGTAAGTGTCTATGCATGTGTGCACCATTTGTGTGTTTCTACTAGGTTCTGCTAGAGAGGCTGTCGAGAAGGGTAGAGATGTCACCTGCACAGCTTAGGGTTCTAGGGCCACGAAAGGGTCCTTGCGTTCCTGCATGTCAGGTGTCTGAGCAGCAGGCTTATTACCAAGAGTGGATGGGGGGGGGGTCACAAAAGCCGTTTCTCTCCAGCAATATTGTTTTCATCCCTTGGTCATGATGGGCAACGTCTGCTTCATTTTGTGAGTGGATGAAAATAGCAGTGGGCGGAGGAAGGGCTTGAGAGGAAAATGGCGGCAAGCAAACCCCCGCCAGTCAGTGATGTAGTATGAACTAGTCTTACCCCAGTCAGATGGCGCTGAGATCATTTCACTGGAAATCAACCTCGCTAATTCAAATAAATCCCTTCTCATGAACTGCTTTCAGTTTTGCGTTTCCGCCCTCTCCTCCCCGGCTTCCAGTGTGAACAAATATCTCTACTCCCTTCTGTTTTTGAAGCGTCTGGTCCTGAGGCAAACTAGACAAAAAAGAATGGTTTTATTCTCCCATATTCCAAAAATAACTTGTTTGTCTTGAGGGTGCAGAGTGGATGCTCTTATCCTACACTATCGATGCCTGTTGTTAGGAGGACTTCTGCCACTTGGTGGTTATTTATCGATGAAATGCAGGTGACTCATCCATGCTGACTGCGGTACAGACAAATCCTTTCAATGGAGATCTCTGTGTGTGTGAGTGTGTGCCACCATGTAGTGTTTGCCTGTAGAGAAAGCATCCCTGAAAATGAATGGGCACCAGAGGTGTACAAGTAATGCTCAGAACTTGCAACAAGCCCAGCTTGGTGTTATAAGCACAAATCTCAGAATTGAAAACTGTCACATGGACTAAAGAAGGGATGGGGTTAATGACATTTACATTATAAGGGGCACCTGTGATGTCCAGCAGGGAAGGAAGGAGAGAAGCTATTCCCTCGGCCTTTTTATTTATTTATGTATTTATTTATTTATTTATTTATTGTGCTGTGCCAGGATTAGGAACTGGGCCTTCAGCCCCTCTATTCAGCTTTCGGCTGAATAACATGAGATCCTCGGAGAGCCGTGCTTAAGTGCAATGCTGAGCTATTTGCGCAACAAACGTAACAGAACACGCTCACCTGCTAGGCTCATCGATGGAGCTAATTCCAGCTCTCTGAGGTTGGTTTTACTTGTCATCATCTCTTTAACGGCTGAGGGCGATTAGGGCAGGCAAAGTCCACAAGCGAAGAGTTAACCATGAAAAATCAGGGAATGCAAAGGGCTTGTAACCGTCTGTGACGTTCTCGAACTGTGGCATCCCTCGGCACTAATGCTTGGCTCCTGTGTATGAATGGATGCTGGAGAAGTCACTTCTAGGCTTTCTGGTGTCTGATACCGTAGAATAAGCGTTACCCAGCCCCTCCGAGGACAAGGTGGCCTGAGTGGTGTGTGTGATGCATGTCATAGAAACCACAGCACAGGAGCCGGAGGGGCTTTAGCCCACATTTACAGACCAAGCTATCCATCAACAGGAAAGCCCCGGGGCACAGACGTAGGGATTGTCACAGCTGCTGGAGCTCTGCCACTTTTACTCTCCAGAAAGCCAGCAGTCAAGACCTGTCCAAAAAAACGATGAAGAAATGGGCATGTCTCTCCCTTCCCCTCAGCCCCACCCATTCACTCAGGCCATCGAGTCAAAGCTGAGACAGGTTGGTGGGCTCCGTTCCTTTCTGTTCCCCTGGCTCTCTCAAACCCAACACGTTAAAATATTTGCAGTAAATACAGTCTAATACCGCCTGTGCACTCTGGTTCTGAAAGATGTGTTGGCTGGCCATCTGCTCGTCTCCCTGAGCAGCGGCACAACGTCTGTCTTGTCTCCTGCTTATCGCTTCTCTGTCTCCCACACTGGTGGATGTATGCAATGGGTATGTGAGACACTTGGAGCTGGAGCCGGCAGGCAGCTGTTTGAAGAGGTGGGCTGCAGCTCTGTGAACCAGGAAGCCTCTGCAGGCAGGACTGACCTTAACCTGATAGGTCAGAAAGCCGAAGCCAGAATTTGGAGCTGCATGTGCTACCGCCCTCCCTGCAAGTCAAGTCAGGCTAGTCCTGGCTATAGTAGTAGCACAAGCACACAGTGTAAGAGGAAGATGCTGAAGAAACAGGGAAAGTAGAAGCTAGCATCTTCCCCAGCTCGATAAGTCAGATTTCTATTCTGAGCCTGGATAATGAACTGGATCTAGAAAAGTCCCTCTGCAAGGGGTTTCTCTCCCGGTCTCGTGTGTGTGTGTGTGTGTGTGTGTGTGTGTGTGTGTGTGTGTGTGTGTGTGGGTGTGGGTGTGGGTGTGTGTGTGTGTGTGTGTTCATTTTTTATCAGAGGAAAATGAACTTGAAGGAGCCTCTGTATTATTTTTCTATTAAGGCCAATTTTACTTACTCAGTTTGCCTGAAAGAGGCTGTAATCAGGATTGAAAGCAGTTGTCACAGGAAACTAACAAGCTAACAGTTGATGAGTTTACTTAGGGGAACAGTCCCTGGCTGTGTGTGGCTTGGCCTCCCTCCTCCTTTGGCAATCATTTATCAGACCCTGGGAGGGGAACCAGGGCTCCGGAGCATTTTCCAGGGCGTCAGGAATGCAAGGTGGTGTCAGTGACGGGAGATCAACGCTGGAATTTCGCATTTGCTACCACAGCAGCTGGAGCGAGTGGTTTCATCCAGACGACAGCGTCCGGGAGCAGGGCGCGGCCATCGTGCAGGCGGGCGGGCGGGCGGGCGGGCGTGGGAGCCGCGGCGGGGGCGGGACTTCTCAAGGCTGCCCCGGACCTGGCGTGTGGGTGCTGGGGGCGTCTCCTCGCAGCTCCGCAGCGGCCGATCGGTCTGCTTGCACGCCTAGAGTGCATTCCTGTTGCTTTCGGTGCCCCCGGCCAAGGACCTTGTTGCCATGGTGAAAGAGAAAGGTAATTATAAATATTGATCACGGTGCATGCTTGTAGAAGTTGCGTTGGGCCCGCGGGGCTGGGGCACCTTATGAGCAATGATCAATCGAAATGCAGGCAGACATGTTCCGAGCGAGAATCTCTGTAGGACAAAGTCTGGGTTTCGGTGGAATCTCAGCCCATGGCAGGGACTGAGCTCAGCTCAGGGTGCGCATAGCTTTTGATTAATTGCCAGTGGGTTTGGGATTTGGGGTTGAGACTTGCCTTCCACCTCCCACCCTACCCTCCATTCTCTTCCTTCATCCTTCATCAATGAGTTCGTTAAGATTTGTTGTCACGGAAGGGTTTATACCTGGGTGGGGCTGTGTGGGGACAGACCCAAGCCCAGCTAGTGTGGCAGAGAGGAGCCCCTGGATGTTGGAAAGGGTTCGTACTAGCTTTAATCAATCCTGCCAACACCTTGCTAAAGGATGTCCTAATCAGCCACACGAGAACTGGAAAAGAGGAGGGTGGGCGTGGCTTGCACAGGTGTGTATTGTTTACCTACTGGGCGTGGCCCTGAGATTAAGATAAACCTTTTAAAATTGAATTCTAGGTGAATTCATTTGGTTGGAAAATGCCAAAGAACACAACAATAGATCGCGTTTTTAGTCGTTCCAGTAATATGCTATACACCAAGTAATTTTAAAAGCAAAATGTAACAGAAACACAAGGGGAAAGGGAACTCTTGACCACTACTCCCTCAACCTCCAGTTTCCAGTGACTGGCCTTTGTCTTTCTAGACCCGTGTAGAGTGGAACTGGGTGCACAAATTAGAAGTGACCTTATCAGAGATGCCAAAGGACCAACCTTCTGTAGGACCATCCAATGACCATTTTCCTAACTTGATTTTTTTCCCCCTCTTGGCAATATGTTTTAGAGATTTTTTTGTTGTGAAGAATGACTTCAGTTCTGCTCCCTGGCAAGCTTGGAATTGTCATGGTTTCTCCTGTGGGACATCTCCCCCCACCCCACCCCCCCCCGCCTTTTCATCCTGTCTCACTCCATCTCAATGCCTTCTCTGTGTCTACTTTATACTTGTGAGATAGAGCGCTAACCTTGGGCTGTGGCCGGTTTCAGCTTGGTTTTGCTGTGCAGAGAGTGGGTTGAGCAGCCAACTGTGCCTGCTTTAGCAGTGCCGAGGGTTCACGCCCAGACCAACAGTCTGCTCTATTCATCCACCCCTCTAATATTCGCCTGCTTTTGCTCTGACCTCTGGGTGAATGGACGGTGGGGTGATTCGATATGAATACAGACGCTTCTGGTAGTGTTTCCTTTATTTTGGGGACCTCTAGTGCAAAACCCAGACATGGCATTTGCTGGACTCTGGGACAACTCCCATGCACCTCTTCCACCCGACTAGAATGATGTGGCCCAGCCCTCTGCTGCTAATGGATTTGAGTTTGTGTCCCTGTGTGATTTATTTATGAGTGGTGGAGATTTCAGAAGCCACAGGTCCACTCCATTCCTGTGGGGCTGGTGGCAGCCCAGACCTCTGATAGAGATCGCAGGCAGGTCAGGAGTTTTCAAATATCGTCTTGCCCGAGCCTCACTTAGGTTACCTATGTCCATGCTTGGGCACTTTCTAGCTGGAATACTCTGGGCAGGCTCCCAGGAGGCCACATGCTAGTGTTATCTTAGCTCCAGCCACTGATTAGAGGTTGTTCTTTTTTTATTTTGAGGTCTATGCCAGTCCTTGCTGCTGCTCCCCTGCCCCGACTACACCAGCTTCAGCCGACATCAGAGAAAGACAGGGTTTCTGTGGGTGGCTTTACAGGAGGGATCTCGATTAGTGTGTAAAGTGAAATGGGCACTGGGAAAGTGTGTTCTTCCTGGAAACGGGCAGGCTAGGGATCAGAAAGGGTAAGGAAGTGACTCAAGGTCACACAGCTAATAACTTGACCATATGACGTGCTGTCCAGTGTGGACATCCCCCCTGTCAATGCTCTGGCGGAGGAAACCGGTTAGTAACACAACAGAGCTGCCAGGGACCGGTGCCTTGTTGCATCTGGACCGTTTCCAGTACCCTAGTTTTTATAGCATTAGTATTAGCATTAGTATTAGTATTATTTTCTCTGCCCTCCTGAAGCTGATGGGGATGCCCTAGCAAGCTCAGGTCACTGTGGTGGCCGTGCTAAGGAGGAAGGAGCAAGGAGCAAGGCAGGCCTCTGGTTCCCTGCTGTGCTCACTCTAGTGTGTGACACTGTCCTGTATGTCATTTCCTCAGTCTCCACTTGGGGCTGACATGGCTGGAGAGAAGGCCTACACTCAGCCAGCATGGCGGCCCGGGGCAGACCATCTTCAGCTCGCATGGTCTTTGTTCTCCTGAGCACACGCTCATTTGCCCACACTCGCAGACACTAATCGATCCTAGAGTCTGGATGAAATGGTTGTTTCCCCGATGTGTTCAAGGACACCTCATCCTTGCTGCACTGTCTAAGAAGCACCAAAGGGTTTTGTGGGTTCACCAGTCAATATCTGTCTTCCTGAGTACAAAACAGCATACACACTCACCAACCTACACCCCGAGAGCCGCTGTGCTCGTTTAAAAGTTGTGACTGCTACCTGACGTGTGTTCCTGGGCCGTTTCTGAATGAATCTGTTTCTTTTTTGTTTACTTGTTTGGGTGTTTGCCTGAGAAATAGAACGAAGTAAATCCCAGAGATAAAGTTATAACAAACGGCGATTGTGGCTTGGAAGCTCTGTGACCATGTGAAAAAGTAAGAGTTTAGCTGAAAAATGCCACATTCAGGTAAATGGCATTTTAGACTTGAGTTCCTGTATTTCTTGGGTTGTTTTCCTATAAGAGCAGAGGTCTCAATATTCATTCTCCTACAAAAGAGAGATGTCTGCTCTCTACCTGACAGTTCAGAGTAGGGAGAGTGTGCAAGTGTGTCACACACACACAAGTGCACACACACACACGGGCACACACATGCACACATGCATGCACACACATGCACACATGCATGCAAGCGCAAACAAATGATGTCTCTGCAGCAAGCTCTTCTGATTGCCTTCCTTATCACTGTGGCTTTCTGTGGTATCATCAGGTGTCTAGCAGAATCCCAGCCTCTCTCTTACTTAACATTGGTGGCTTTGACCTTTCACTTGTAAAAGCTGACAATGGCTGCAGACATTGCAAGATGTGTTCTCCCAGGGGTGGGGCTGGAGTGGGATATTGAGGAGACTGGAAGGAGTGACAAAATTAGTCTAGTTGGGGACAGTGGGGACTGAGAAGCCAGCTGCACCGCCACAGGGAGGTTTTGGCTCAGACACGTCCACTCCTCCAAGGAAACTCCTTCACACCATCGCCATACCCAGCCTGAGCTTTCTGGGTTAGCAAGGTCTTGTGTATTTACAGGGCACAATGGTTCCCTTGGCTCTCTGCCATCTACTGTTGGAGTGAGATAGGTTTGCCCGTGAGTAGAAGAAGCATCTAGACTGAAGTTTGATGTGAAAGCATCCTGATCGGCCATGCTGGAGCAGGTGGCTCTTACTCTGGGCCTTTAAAGACTGGGGATATTTGGATATGTGACAAATCAGGAATAATGCACTAGGTGTGAGAGATGCACCCATGTAAGAGTGGATGGAACCTGGTCAGAGACGTGATGGGGGAGATGGACTCCCAGTCACCCCTGGGAGTGGCCAACAGGGCAGTACACACTTGGTGGCTTAAACAACAGGAAGTCATTGTCTCAGTTCTGGAGGACGAAAGTCCACAGTCAAGAATTCTGCAGAGCCGGTTCCTTTCCAGTGAGTCCCCACGGGAGACTCTGCATCTCCCTGGCCTCCCGGTGCTCTGCCAGCTCTCTCTGACATTTTTTTGCTTGTAGACTCGTCATTCTGTCGCTAGACCTGTGTCATTCACACTGTGTGTTCTGTCTTCATAATTCCCACTTTTTGTAGGGGAACTGATGAGTGATGAGGAGCCAAATGGTAACCTCTTTTTGATTTGACTGTCTAAGTAGAGACCCCATCTCAAATAAAAGCCATGTGTTAAGGTGTTGAGGGTCAGGCCTTTGACACATGAATTTGCTGGGAGCTGGTGGTTGCGTGCAACCGCTCACCCGTGGCCACTCACCTAGGTTAGACCTGAATAGGGCTCAGGAAGGGCTGGGGAAGAAGGACCAGACTAGGAAGTAGGAGTGGGGTGGGAAGGAGAGGAGGGAAGATCATTTTAATAAGCCTGAGTGATGAAGCACTCAGGTACGATCAGAAAAGTGTGGTTCACGAACTACTTCCTGTGTGGGATGCTGAGCTCTCACAGCTGACAAATCTGAGTGTGCCCAATGATATTGTATCTACAGGGTTCCCACTTAAGAACTCCATAACTGTGTTACCGAACAACAAGATGTCTCATCATCTATAAGTTCATGACGCAGTGTTGGGCAGCATTCATGGCTTTGCTAGGGCGTTGCACTCTTAAAGATTTTAGAAGTGGCTATTCCATTTCTCTGGAGGTACGTCGGATTGTAGGCATCTGTGAAAAGCTGACACTACACCTTGCTGGTTGCAACTGCTCTGTCCCACATCACCCAGGGCCTGTCGTGTCTCCTGGCAGCCCCTGAGGTGTACAGCATCCTGAATCCCTCTTGCATGACTTCATCTGTGATACTATCATTAAGTCTATGGTCGAAGGTGGGTAGATGGAAGCTTTTGGTTGCCTTTAGTCGTTCAGGGAGTCTCCCCCCCCCCCCAACCCTAGCCTCAAACTCATAATCCTCCTGCCTCCGTCTCCTGATTGCTGAGATTATCAGCATATGTCATCATTTCTCTTAACCCCAAGATTTTTAGGGGAACACCCCAGACGTCTCCTAAGTAAGGTCTGAAGGAAAGTTACCTGTTAGAGGAGACACCGCAGGCCACCGGGGTTTCACAATCAATGGTCGTGATGGAGGACAAAGTCACACAATTCAACTGTGTGCCTCTCATCATCCTGGGAAAGCTCTGGGTTTTGACATCACATTCCACTCAAGACA